AGGTTATAGACTCTGTTGACCCATATAATCCTATCATTATAAAGGTTCTGGACTCTGTTGACCCATATAATCCTATCATTATAAAGGTTCTGGACTCTGTTGACCCATATAATCCTATCATTATAAAGGTTATAGACTCTGTTGACCCATATAATCCTATCATTATGAAGGTTATAGACTCTGTTGACCCATATAATCCTATCATTATAAAGGTCCTGGACTCTGTTGACCCATATAATCCTATCATTATAAACGTCCTGGACTCTATTTAGCCATATAAAACTGTAGTTTAGTATTTACTTTTTAAACACTTATAAATAGATACTCTGTCTTATACGTATGGTATCATATTTATTTTTAGGTTCCTTCACTCTGTGATCCTATAAATTCTAGAGGATTTAGTCTTTATTTAAATTTAGACTGGGTGTGGCTTAGTAGTTGCGTGTCGTGTTGTGAATCCGAGGGTTCACGATTCGCGTCCCGTATCACAGAATTGCTATCGGTACTTTGAATTGTGGATACGTGTCAGTGGTATTCTTGGATTGGAGTAGCCCAAGAGTTGACGGCAAGTGCTGTTGACTGGCTACATAATTAGGGACAGCGAGCGCAAAAATCCAATTTCTATCTTTCAGTATATAGTGGCATATTCTGAAACAAGGGAGTCTTTGTTGTCGTGATTAGTAGCATATACGATCACCAAAGTGTAATTAGTAAGTTTTTTTTTCAGCTAGATGCTAATTAATAATTAGTTTAAACTGGCTGGTGAATAGTAGCTAAAGAAAAAAATGTTCCTAATTAATAATTAGATTTAATAACCATAACGATTAATATCCGAGATCTTACCGTAAAGGAAATTGTTTTATTGATTTTACTCATTGTTTTTGTTTGTTTGTTTGTTTTAGTGTAAAGCTACACAATGTGTTATCAAACCTACGTAATGTGTTATCAAAGCTACACAATGTGTTATCAAATCTACACAATGTGCTATCAAAACTACACAATGTGTTATCAAACCTACGTAATGTGTTATCAAACCTACGTAATGTGTTATCAAAGCTACACAATGTGTTATCAAAGTTACACAATGTGTTATCAAATCTACACAATGTGCTATCAAAACTACACAATGTGTTATCAAACCTACGTAATGTGTTATCAAACCTACGTAATGTGTTATCAAAGCTACACAATGTTTTATCCAAGCTACACAATGTGTTATCAAAGCTACACAATGTGTTATCAACTCTACACAATGTGTTATCAAAGCTACACAATGTGTTATCAAATCTACACAATGTGTTATCAAAGCTACACAATGTGCTATCAAAACTACACAATGTGTTATCAAACCTACGTAATGTGTTATCAACTCTACACAATGTGTTATCAAATCTACACAATGTGCTATCAAAACTACACAATGTGTTATCAAACCTACGTAATGTGTTATCAAAGCTACACAATGTTTTATCCAAGTTACACAATGTGTTATCAAACCTACACAATGTGTTATCAACTCTACACAATGTGTTATCAAAGCTACATGTGGACATTATTTTTAGTTAGAAAAGTACTTTTAGAGATTCAGCGATTTTCACAAATGACGTTTAGTAACTTAGTAATCCTATAAAGAATTTCTCTGACTTTTTGAAATGTTATAAAAGCTTAACAAAAAATAAAAGACTCAGAAATGATAGAAATAATTTTAATGTCCTACTAATTTTTTAAATAATTTACAATGATCTGTTGACCTTATCATTACTTTCAGAGACTCGATGTTTTAGATATATATTTTTGTGTTCTGGTAATTTGAAAGAATGTATTTGGTCACTTCTGTACATTATTTTCAAAAGACCGTAATTTTGATGTAAATTAGGGCTAAGACGAAAAGTACTGTTTACTGAACAACCAGGATACGTCATGTTAGTACGCATGTCAGGCAATAAAAAAGAACAATGTTGTATCGTTCTCAGTACACTTCATTAAATCTGCCATCTTAACGACAACACGTCATCTTCTCGTTAAAGAACGTAATGGATGACTCTAGACCGATGAGTCCGGACTTTTCTTCCTGGCTTTGATTGATTCAGGCACGCCATGTCATTTTGTGATAAAAATAATGATTAAACAATTTTTATTTATTTTACGAATATTAGCTGCCGAACATCTACTTGAAACTTCAAATATAATATAATAATTTCCTGAAACATAAAAGAAAAATAGAATAACGTTTATCAAAAGCACACTTCTCGTGCTTTACAAAACTAGCGAACCCCAAGAAAGTCACAACCCACTAGAGAGGATAAAATGAACCATTAGTAATATACTTGTCTCTCTTGGCTACGGTCACTAATAACTGCTGTCGTGGCCTTAAACCGCCATGGCAACAACACTAAAATTCATAGGAATAGCGTATTCATCTTAGGCAAACGTAAAGCTCCGGAACTTCGTGTTAACGATGATATCCGACGATCGTTCGGCGGCGCTCGTCTCAAAAAGGTACTGGCGTAGTTCGAGCATGTGACGATATTATGACGTTTAACTTTCGGAAGACTTCGGTTCTCTCGCTACCATATATGGGCAATGCGTGTGGCGAAGTTGATAGTTCGTTAAAACGACGAGTTTGTAGATTATATTTGGAGAGTCAAATTTTAACCAAATGCTCTAAATCATAACCTAGAAAAATATTTTGCAGGATCGATAATTCAACTTCTGGACTTCTCTCATGAATCTCCTTGGCGTGTGGTGTGTATATGTGAAAGACTGGGTAAATAAAAAAAGAAAAATACACAACGACTAATGAACGCTAGTTATCTTTTTAGTTGCAACGTCATTTTGACGTCGGCCAAACGTAGGCAGGCGGATTCTGGTCTGATTGGCTGAGCGTTAGGTTCCGGTTCCCAAATATGGAAGAGACCACGCAGTGGCCTTCATTCATCTGGTTTATTTCATTCAGCTGACGTTTAACAAAGTACACCTAGAAACGAGGATAGAAGCAGACAGAGTTGGGCTTTCCACATGATAACAGTTGAAATGGTGAATCCTTATCTTGTGTATACATTGAATATGAGCGTCAAACGGCCTACTGACAAGTAAACAATCCTTTCGGAAATATAAGGGCACGTGCTGCTGTTTCTTACTGGTCCGGCTGTGGAGGTTTCCACGGAAACCCCTTAAGAGTCTTAGCATGATTATGGACGTTTTAGATACCCTCTCTCGTACAGTTCTGGACGATCACTGTTTCTCTGAAAACTCTCACACTTACAAGTCCTTCTTCTTAAAGCTGACTACTCCGGAGTCCGTAGCGAGTACAGACTCCCCCCGGAGATCTCCCGGCTCTTCTAATGAGGCGATGCCGGATATTTTTAAAACTCCGATATCTACTGGAAACGGTTTCTTTCACCCCGAAGAACAAGCTCTCTACGCTCTTTCTACTTCAGGTAAGACTATAGTTAGAGTATAGCGTTAATACGTTTCATTGACGTAATTGGTACTGAAGATCTCGCCATCATTCTCAAATCGAGCTTTCTATTCAGTAAAAATTAAGTTTAGGTCTAAAAAATGTAATACTATAGTAAGTTATAGTTGAAGAAGCCATATGCTGAACAGGTGGCTATTAGGATACATCCGTATTGCCCACTTCCTCCCACGGACTTCAGCGAAAAGCGGGGTAGGGCTGGGCTGCACTGAAACATAACCGACCTACATTGTTTTGGCCTGATCATTGAGTGACCCTCCCTGCTGAAAAACGTCTCAATTAATTTCAAGTTAACCTTGTCTTGATCGAGAAAATAAAGACACGGCTCCGCCCTTAAGACTCCGGCTTTGCCGCGTGCTGTTCACCATCGCGTTAAAAGCGATGACGCTATAAACTGATGACGTTTCTGCGCAGCAGAGTACGATGCGCCAGTTGAGTGCGCACTCTCTACAAAAATAATTTTCATCTTTAATCTGAATATATATATATATAAAATATTAAAACATTAACAGTTCTTTCTAAAAGTAAATCATTAGAGCTTAAATGTAGCACTGAATATATTATCTTATTCTTAACACTTTCTCTACATCCCTGGTGTTTACGTTTTGAACTAATGTGCTACTAACCATTTTTGAATAAGGGTGGAGAACACACAGGGATGGAAATGGAGGGAAGGAGATTTTTCGGAACGACATTCCCTAAGGATAGCTTTAAACGTCACTCTTCCTAATTCTACAAAGGATTAGGATCATCAACTAGAAAATCACATGATTAATATCACCAGCTGGAACATCCACATGATTAGGATCATTAACTAGAATACCCACATGATTAGGATCATTAACTGGAACATCCACATGATTAGGATCATTAACTGGAAGATTCACATGATTAGGATCATTAACTAGAATACCCACATGATTAGATCATCAGCTGAACATCACATGATTAATATCATCAGCTGGAACATCCACATGATTAGGATCATTAACTAGAATACCCACATGATTAGGATCATTAACTAGAATACCCACATGATTAGGATCATCAGCTGGAACATTCAGATGATTAGGATCATCAACTAGAAAATCTTCCAGTTGGTGATCCTAATCATGTGAATCTCCCAGTTGGTGATCCTAATTATCTGGATCTTCCATTAGAAATCTGTCCAGTTTTATTCATCGGAATAGCTGGAGGATTTTCTTTTGACCTTTTTCCACAAATAAACACTATTAAATCGTAATATTATTCACATCTCTGTCCTCATCTATTGATTGATACATTTACACGTTTATTACAAAGTATGGATCATCCGAAGACAGGGCGCGATCCTCAAATGTTGCCCCTTGGGCTGGAATAAAGTGACAAGAAAAAAGAAAGATCTGATCACAAGTTTCTGCTTCTTTGTATAAATCATGTCAAAGCTTTTTGAATTTTTATAAGTTTAAAACTATGTTAAAACAACACATCTTGAAAGATGTATATTTAAAACTATGTTAAAACGACACATCTTAAAAGTCGTACATTTAAAACTATGTTAAAACGACACATCTTAAAAGTCGTACATTTAAAACATAGTGACATTATATATATATATAAACGTACATTGAGAGACAGCAAATCTGTCTCTTTAGATCACTTAAATACCTTATAGTAGGCTAACTTAGAATAATTATGATTCTGCATCTTAAAATAACGAGGCTGTTGTTTTACCTACCGTGTTCTGCTACC